AAATAATTATTTTTATATAAAAATCATTATAAATTTTAACAATAAAAATTAAAAAGATAAATAACTTAAATTTTATGTAAATGTGATATATAAAATTTATATATAACTAAATTTTTTGTCGTTATAATAAATTAACTTTTTTAACGGTAAAGAAAGCCAAACATATTTGGTCAAACTCTCTATTTGTATTATAAATATTATTAATTTTTGTGATTAGTATTTTTTAAAATTTTTATTTTTGATTAACACTTTTTATAATTTAAAATTTATAAAAAAAAAAAAAAAACCTAAAACTTACAATTAGGTTACATGTAAATCAAGATACAAATAAAAATTCGATCATTAATTTTTAAATTTTTGATAAATTTCAAATTTTAAGAAGTGTGGAATAAGAGATAATTTTAAAAAGTATTAAATACAAAAAGTAATAATATTTAGGTTAAAATGTTAATTTGGTCCCTTAACTTTTAAATTTATATTAAAATTATTCTTTAACTTCAAAAAGTTTCAAAATTGTCCTTGAACTTTAATTTTGGTATCAAAATATTTTTCAAAATTTGAAGATAGTACCAATTTAGTTCTTAAACTTTGAAAATAAGTACTAATTTAGTCCTTGAACTTTGAAAATAAGTACTAATTTAGTCCTTGAACTTTGATTATAAATACCAATTTGGTCTTTCGATTTTAATTATATATCAATTTAATATGTAAATAAAAATATACTATAATAATAAAATATAACTGTTTGATTTTGCATGTTATAAGTATGCTTTAAAAAACTAATTTTGTAATAAAATAACGAGTTATGTAGTACTTTTGTTAACAGAAGAACTTTTTTGCTATTGAAAATTAAAGTTTAAAGATAATTTTGATATTTTTTAAAGTTAAAAGATAATTTTAATATAAATTTAAAAATTGAGAGACTAAATTAATATTTTAACCTAGTATTTAATATAGAAAAATTAGGATTTAACTAATATATTAATGTGGACGTCATATTTCTGTTGAAGAATTTCTCACGATAATTAATGAAATTATATGGGTTTGGATATTGATGTGATATCGGTCTAATACAGTACCAATTCATTGGTATACAAATATAGTCGATACAAAATTTTTGTACCTAATATCAAACCGATTTGATCATAATCGGTACTTGTTGTTTTGAAGAAGCAAGCGGAGGATCAATCGAATGTGTATTAGTTTGACGGTTTATAATGTTTGTTCTTTGTTTTCGTTGCATGTCGATATCAATAAGAAACCAAAGAAAAAATTGGTTACCATATGGGCTATTTGTTTGAGGAACAAAATTTCTAAAGGTTTTCAATGCCTTCATCCTTGGCAAGCAAAAGGAAAGGTGGTCACATTGCTTGTGAAAATTTAGAAAGGTTAAATATAATGACAATATCCACTTGGAATTTGGAAAATGCGGTTGGGGTAGTAATCTAAATAGCCCATAAATGTAATAAAGGCCCATGAGGCTCAAATGCAAAGGAGCATATGCATGAGTCACTATAGAGCTTATATACACTTAAATGGATCTAAAGGGACCAATAAAAGTGCAACACGTGTAAAGCACTCTTAAGAAGTCTATAAATATGCCCACACCTCTCAAAGGTAAAAGACTTCTCTAAGAGCTCTTCTTTCTCTGTTATACTTCTCTCTCTAAAGAGAGCCTCAAGTATAGAATATTACTAACTTGGGCATCAAAGTGTCTACCCCGAGGGACAACCCTTGGGTCTGTTTTGCAGGTCCCCTCACTGGTTAACTCGTGGTCAACTAGAGCTCATGAAGCTGCCCAAACAAATGGCACTGTATGTGGGAATCAAATAAATAGCTTTCATGCTTTGTTGTCATTGTTGACCAAGAAGGGAGAAAGAGAAGCTAGATCTGCGCAACCAGGTCGTCACTCTCAACTCCCTCAGATCCCTAGAACAAGGAGAGGAGAAGATGAGTGATGACCACCTTCACCTCCCTAGTTTCACGTCATCACTCTTAGCTTCTTGGTTCTAAGTCATCATTCGTCAGCTTCCTAGTTCTAGGTTGTCACTCTTAGCTTCGGCTCAGATCCTTGATTCCAAGTCATCATCTCTCAGCTTCTTGGTTTTCCAAGTCATCACCCCTTAGCTTGCTCAGCTTTTTGGTTTTCTAGGTCGTCACTCTTTAGCTTCCTAGTTACAATCGTCATTCCTCAGCTTCTTGATTTCAAGTTGTCATTACTCAGCTTCTTGGTTTTCCAAGTCGTTACTCCTCAGCTTCCTAGTTTTCCAAGTCGTCGCTTCCTAGTTCTAGGTTGTCATTCCTTAGCTTCTTGATTCCAAGTCATCAATAGATGAGCAGGGTGGAGTAAGAACCAAATCTTCATTTGGTGAGCTCTTACATTAGTGTTTTATCTACTACCTTGAGACCTCTTTGATAAATGAGCAGGGCCGAGCAAGATCCAAATCTTCATTTGGTGAGCTCTTACATCAATGTTTGATCTACCGCCCCAAGACCTCGTCAATAGATGAGCAGGGCTGAGCAAGAACCAAATCTCCATTTGGTGAGCTCTTACATCAGTGTTTTATCTATCGCCCTAAGACCTCGTCAATAGATGAGTAGGGCTAAGCAAGATCCAAATCTTCATTTGGTGAGCTCTTACATCAATATTTTATCTGCCACCCCAAGACCTCTTCGATAAATGAGTAGGACTAAACAAGATCCAAATCTTCATTTGGTGAGCTCTTACATTAGAGTTTTATCTACCACTTGAAGACCCCATTAATAAATGAGTAAGGTTGAGCAAGACCCAAATCTCCACTCGGATTAGGCAAGATCCAAATCTTTATTTGGTAAGTCTTTCAAAAAGAATTAAGAGCTGAGACCTAGCATGGATGAGCTCAAATGAAGAATGACAAGCTCATAATGCTCTGATGACGAGCTTGCAAAGCTTGAACAAAGAATGATGACTTGATAAAGCTTTGATAAATAATGACGAGCTTGTAGAGCTCAAACAAAGAATGATGAGCTCATAATGCTCCGATGACGAGCTTGCAAAGCTCCAATGAAGAAAGATGAGCTCAAAAAGCTTCGATAAAGAATGACAAGCTGACAAAGCTTCAACGAAGAATGATGAGTTGATAGAGCTCCGACAAAAAATAACGAGCTGATAGATCCAACAAAGAATGATGAGCTGAGAAATATCTTCTAGGTCATCATTGTCAGCTCCAGCTCAGATCCCTGATTCCAAGTCGTCATCTCTCAGCTTCTTGGTTTCTAGGTCATCATTCCTTATATCCTTGGTTCCAGGTCGTCATTCATCATGTCCCTGGTTCCAGGTCATCATTGCTTAGATTCTTGGTTTCCAGGTCGCCATTCCTCAGATCCTTGGTTCCAGGTTGTCATTCCTCAGATCCCTAATTCCAAGTCATCACTCTCAGACCCTTGGTTCCAAGTCGTCATTCCCGAGCTTCCTAGTTCTAGATCATCACTCTCAGCTCCCTTAAATTCCAGGTCATCACTCTCAGCTCCCTTAAATTCCAGGTCATCACTCTCAGCTCCCTTAGATTCCAGGTCATCACTCTCAGCTCCATCTCAGATTCCTAGTTCCAAGTTGTCACTTTTAGCTTCCTAGTTCTAGGTTGTAATTCTCAGCTTACAAGTTGGAAATCTCAAATCAAGGTTCCCTAGCCAGATTCCTGAAGAATAAATTAGACCTCACTACAACCTATAAAAGTAAGAAGCTAAACCCTTGTGATTTTCAGCAAGCTTACAAATCATTAGAGGGGGAGTAGTGTTGGGATAGTAATCTAAGTAGCCCATAAACATAATAAAGGCCTATGCAACCCAAAAACAAAGGAGCATATTTATGAGTCACTATAGAGCTCATATACACTTAAATGGATCCTAAGGATGTGAGGGTGAGACAAGTTTTTCTCTTTGTAAAATACTTTGATAGCAATGCTTGTTGAAGCTATGAATAACTATGTAGCGGCTAAGGGTGGTGGTCACTTTTCAACCATAAGTGAGTCATCAAGCCATGCAAGTTGATTGGTAAGTCAAAGCTTGGGATCTGACACTTAGTTATCAATTTGGATCTTAGTTATTTTATTATAGATAATAATTTTGTTTTTGAAAATTAGATAGATAAAAAAATTTATATACAAAGAATATTTATATTAATATAAGACTTATGAATATAACCTATAAGTAAAGAAAGAATTTAAAGCAATTCATTTGATTTTCTAATTGATGTAGACTGATAAAGGTTTGAATGAAGCTTGATTTCAATGAAAGAAAATTTGAGAAAAACTTAGAGGTTTGAAGGTTTTTACAAGATTTGAGACACAATGATAATAGAGTACTTACACTTCTCTTCATGGTGAATGCCTCTATTTATAGGCAAAAGGAGGCATCTTTGAAGGAATATTTCAATATATTTTAATTAGACCATACAATTTTGTCATGTGTTTCAATTATATTCAATTTAAATAAGACACATACCATCATTTTATTTGATTGTGTTTTAATTATTTTATTTTAATAGGACACAATATCCTATGGTTTTGTCACAATTCTTACTTGTAAATTTTAACTCTATGTAGATGATGGTATGCAAACCTAATTGAATGTTAACCTATGACATAGTCCAACAATAAAAAAGATATATATGTATTTTGTGTCTACACTTATATTTCTCTGTTTTTATTTCCTTTTCAAATTATATTTGAAAAATTAAAAATAACGTTTATGTTGGGATGGTGTGGCTGATGAGGGCATGGTATGTTATATGGGGTGTTTCTAGTGTTGAGAGTTTGAGTCTTTTGTAATGTCTGATAATATAAATAGCACTTTAAGTAGAAAGTTTAAAGTCTTTTATAATGTCTGATGATATGAATAGCACTTTAAGTAGAAAGTTTAGAGTCTTTTATAATGTCTAATGATATGAATAGCACTTTAAGAAAGTAGAAAGTTCCTTTGTTCTCTCAATGGGTAAGAGTTGGGTTAACTACCTCAACCTATCATGCAATTCATTGGTCCATTTTTTTTACCAAAGTTCTAGTCCATTTGCGTGGGATGTGGATATAGGTATGTTGAAGGTAGATATTGAATCCCTTTCCATTCATAATCTCCTATGTCTCTTCTTGGTTATTTCACAGAAGATTTTATTAATGAATGGACTGGAGTACAAGCTATGGAAAAGCTTAATCATTAGAGTTTCATACTCTTTGAAGTTGGTCCTTCTAAGATTTGAGGTTGTTTAACTTAGCTCTCCTAGGCAAGTGGTTGGGAAGATTAGGTGATGGGAGCAAGGGTTTATGGAAGAGGGTGTTGAAGGAGAGATACAGGAAAAAAGGGGCAAATTGGCATGATTGGGTGAGGGAGGGTAGGAATATAAGCTTAAATTGGTGGAAGTACATATGTAGTATAGATAGGGGGTGTGTGAACAAAGAAGGGTGGTTGGAATTGGGATCTAGTGTAGAAGTAGGAGAAGGAAATGTTGTATCTTTCTAAAGGGATGTTTGGGTGGGAAATGGTTGTTAAAAAGAGAAATTTCCAAGATTATATCTTCTTTCTATAGGTAAAGGATGCACAATCAATGAAATGGACTATTGAAAGGGTGATGCATGGAGATTGTGCTTAAATTGGAGAAGACATCTCTGGTTAAGGAGGCAAAGTAGGTCATGAAGCTCATGGAAATAATATAGGGACTATAACTAAGAAAAGGAGTAAAGGACAACTGGCGATGGGTGCATGGCAAAAGGGGTAAATACAATGTGAAATCTACTTATGCTTTGTTAGCAAAAGGCGAGGCTTTAAAAGACAGGAAACTATTAAAGAAGTGCTGGAATCCTATAATTCCTAGCAAGGTATGTGCATTCACTTGACTAGTCTGCCAACATAGAATCCCCTACAAAATAAACCTAATCAAAAGGAACATTATTAAGAATGGGGAAGAAGACCAATGTGGGCTTTGCAAAAAAGATAGTGAGGACACTAATCATCTTATGCTAAAATGTGACTTTGCTATACTTTTTGGATTAGGGGTGACAATTTGTCCCGATCCCCATAGGGCCTCGCAGGATTCCCACCACGAGGGCAAGGCAGGGAGAAATATTCCTCTCCATAAGGGGGGACAAGGGGCATTTTTCCCCAGCAAAATTAAGCGAGGAATTTTCCTCGCCCCACGAGGATTCCCATCCCCACAAAAAATTAATATTTTAAATTTAATTCAACCCATTATAGCAATACATAATACACATTTCCCCAATCCAATAAAAATTAAACTAAACCCAACTATGTTGATTTAGCTATTTATGTTAGATTGATATTTATTTATGTTTCGATAATTTATATTTAATTGTATATTTAGAGAATTTTAGTTAATTATACTTGAATTTTTAAAATTTTGTTTATTGTAATTGAATATTGTTAATTATAAGTAAAAACTTTATATTTTGATAGAAATTAGTGGAGAATGGGGATCCCCACAGGGAACAAGGATCCTTGGGGGGAATGGAGATGGGCAAAATCTATCCATCGTCAAAAATTCCCACGGGGAATAACAAGGATGGGAACGGGAAGGGACTCCCTAGCCTCACCTAGTCCCATTGCTATCCCCATTATAGATGAAATGTGCCAAATGGTGGGGAGTATCTTCGGTAATGCATGAAGACTGTAAAGCAACTTTTGTACAGCATGGTGGTGTAACAAATGCAAGGACACCGTGGCTAGTGATATGGTTTGCAGTGATATGGACTATATGGTTAGGGCGAAATGATGCAATTTTTAATGACAAGGAAGCTAACGTAGAGGATGGATTGGAATTAGTTCAGAGGAGATCTTACTTGTGGATTAGTGGGAACAAAAATGATTGAAGTTTTTCATTTACTGATTGGTGTCAAGATCCAAATAGGTACTTGATATTGTCAAAATTGAAGAAAGTGGAATAGCATGATTGTATAAAAAATGAAAATATATCTCTCTAGTAGAGAGAATGAATGTAAATGAATAAGAGCACCCTTGTACTCTAATAATAATAATAATAAATTTTGGCGGTCCAAAAAAAAAAATGGAAGTCGGTCCTCCCTCGAGGTGGTGCAAAGATGTGGCTTTCTTCCTTCACCTGGTCTGGTTTATTCTTTTTGGTAGCTGGTAGATTTCTAGTATATTTCTTGTCTTCTTTCCTATTGTTGTTTTCTTTTGGTTCTGTTTCATTTTCAGTTGGTCACGTAACCAGACTCGATTTGCTTTAGCTTAGAGTAGTGATTTTTTTGAGACTAAAATTTAAGAAAAAATTTTAAGTCAAAATTATTTGAATTGATGATTAAGTGAGTTTATATGAAATTCATACCATAATTAATAGCAACTGAAAATTCATCTTAAAATTTAGTCTTAAAAATGAGTTCTAAGTATGATTATTCTTTAGCTTAATACATATTTTGCTATGGGGCAAATAAGAAAAAGGTAGTCAGACAGATGAGAGTGTGTATGCGTTTTATTTTCGTAATTTTAGTATTTAATTAATATTAATGAAAATTTAACATCTAATCATAACCCAAAAAATGGTGTTATCAATTATGGACATTCCAAAAAAAACAAAAAACTAATATATTAGTGGTAAATTTAGTTAGTGTATTTCTACTTGTATTAAATTAAAATTGAGTCTTCCCTGAGTCAATGGAAAAAGTTTTATCAACCCAGTATAATAATCCAAAATTTTTTCAAATTATTTTTTTTTTGAAATTCTTTAAATAATATGTTGTAATAAATTTTATCTTTTATTTCAAAAATATAAAGAAAAAATAGCATTAAACTAGCATTTAGTGTCCATTTCAAGAAAGTTTATTCTTTAATTTGCTCATAAACACTCTATCTCACAAGTTTAATAGTATTAGACAGGAAACTAGTTTTTAATATTTAAAGTGCTTATAAATAGGTTTTAAAAGGCAAATATCACTTCCTTTTTTTTAAACTTACTTTAAAATATTTTATATTTAAAAGCTAAAATTTAATATTTTCCTCTAAAATACTTTTAAACAAGAAAAAAATACTTAAAACATAGTTTTCTTCCTTTTTTTTTTTCCAATGACAAACACATCTTAATATTGCTATTTCTTTATAAAAATATATTAAGTAAAGAGTTAACTATTTTATAATTTAAATTGTGTGTAAAATTAAGTCCATGAGATAGAAGATGACTCGCCGCCATCTAGTGCAGTCTAGAGGTCGAGAAAGTCTGCTGTATCACCGGGATACAGCAGACGTGGTATCCCAACCCAATGGGAAAACACCACATCAGTTGTTTTTTGGGTTTGGGATTGATGAAGTCTGAAAAAATTGTTGATGTGGTGTTTTTTCATTGGGTTGGGATACCACATTGCTGTATCCCGAGGATACAGCAGACTTTGTCCTAGAGGTCATTTGGCAAAACTTTTTTCAGAGTTGCTTTTTAATAAAAATTTCAAAATTTTCCCTCCTTGAGTTGAAAATATGTTGGAGAAAATGTATGATTTTTAGTAAAATAGTGCTAAAATAATAAATTTTAAATGAAATAGTAGATTGTTATTTTTTGTAAAACTTACTATTTTAATATTATTTTGCTCAAAAATAAACATTTCTTTCAGAATTTTTTTAATATAAAAAACAAAAATTTTGAAATTTTTGCTAAAAATATAAATCCAGAAAAGTTCTGCGAAAAGGCCTCCTAGTAAAATTCAGACAGTGAAAATATTTCTATTTAGAAAGCCTTCAACTTTGTTTGCAGTTGCACCCTTTTTGTGGGATTTACTTTGCACGTTAAAAGCACCAATAAAATTGCCCAAAAACAGGAAAAAGACCCAAAAAGGTACAAAATTAAAAGCAAAAATCTAAAGGGTAGAAGCTATTGACGACCCTACCTATCTTCATCTAATCAAGGTAAAATTTAAGTTAAGCTTCAAGACACAAGAAAAGGTCCCCAAAGGCCTACTAAATGCAGTAAAAGACAGGTTGGTGATGATATAAAGTAACCATGGTTAGGGCCCGATGGAGTCCCGTAAACCCGGAAGACTAACCATGGTTAACCAACATGGGTTGAGGATCAGAGTTAGGGGCTGCTCGTGTATATATAGAAGAGGAGACAGAGAGAGGCACAGCAGCCATTATCACCCCACAAGGCAAACACGTAGCAGCCCTGTCTAAGCCCCAGAAATCTGGTTGTTTACATAACATTTTCTTAATCCCAAGAATATCCTCTTCAGCTCTCGTTCCTGATACAGCCTACAAAGAAGAGCAGCTGCCTTTGAGTAAGTCTCTATCTGGAACAAACTTAAAGTTTTGATTTTTATACTGTTTTCTTGATTTCTCTCCTTTTTACTTTTCTGGGTATTTAAGGAAGATGTTCATGTTCTAGATTTCAAGAAGAAAGGGCTAATTTTTTTGGGTACTTTGGATTTTGTGAAAATGATAGATCTCACATCACCTTAGTGATGCACTTTTTCTGGGTATTTTGAGTTTGTATATTTAGTTTCAAAATTGGGTTTGGAAGTTGGATTTAGCTTTGAGGCAAGCCAGATCTTGTTAATGGAAAAGATTGTTAAAAGGTTGTTCTTTGCATGAATCTGTTGAGGCTGCTATTCTTCAATGCTTTTTGAGTTTTTCTTCTTTGAATTTGATTCAAAGTATGATGATTTGTTTTCAGAATCTTTTCATTTTTCATTTCTTTTCCACCATATGGGATTGTTGGAATCTGCCCTTTTTTTTAAATCAAATCCTCTGTCCCTAGGCAATAGAATTTCACCCAAATAGCAAATACTCAACCAGTGCTTCTATTAGATTATGTATTTACTCCATGGCTCATGGGCCCTTAGGCCAGTAATAGTAACTTATAATGGTAGGTATTTTTAGCCAACCCCATACATGTCAAAGGAACTTTTCTTTATTAAATTGTAAAAATCAGAGTTATTTTGAGATTTTTCTGTTCTCTCTCTATATGTTTTACTAAGATAACTTTCCCAATTGGATATTGGTCTATCCCAGGTGTGTTCTGTTAGCCCCTTTCTCCAAGGGTTTTCAATCTGCACTCCTTGCTTGTCATCTCAAGGTTTCTATTTCTGCTAATCAAGGTAATCCCTAGAGTCAATAATTTTCCTTTTTCTTGGTTGTTCAATGTTTTGTCCTTCAATAGATCCTATGCATGTGAAATTTTGAAGTTTAGAGCTGGATCTGCTTGCTCCATGCTGAATCTAGCCACTTTCTGCTGTTTTTGTATTCTCGGTAATGTTTTCTAATAGAATTTTGATATTTCTTTTTTCAGATCAGATATATCAAGGAATCCCCCTGTGACTGATCAAGACCCTCTTTCTGCCTCTGGTAGATGGATTAGATAATCATTTGATTGAAACTGAGTTTTAGGGATTGTATACATTTTACAAATCTGAACCCCTTCGTCACCCGTAGAATTTTATCTTGGTACAAAACATGGGTCTCTCAAGCCTTCCTGCTCCATCTGAAGGAGTACTATGTGTCCTCCTGGTGAACACTGCTTTATCCATATCAATAGTCAAAGGCATAATCCGATCAATCCTTCATGTTGTTGGTATCCACCTTTCATCATCATCATCCTCTTCATTACCCTCAGACTCTGTTGAAACCCCCTCAGAATCATTGGAGTTCCGCCTTAGTCCCTCTGATGGTTACATTGAGGAGTTCAGGAATCGAACCCCAACAATACGATTTGATGCAGTATGTAACTGCAAGCAGGATGAACACGACTGCTCCGTCTGCCTGACCCAATTTGAGCCAGAATCGGAGGTTAACTGCTTGTCCTGTGGCCATCTTTTCCACAACGTGTGCTTGGAGAAGTGGTTGAACTACTGGAACATTACATGCCCTCTTTGTAGGACACCCCTGCTGCCTGAAGAAGATGCTTCTTGCTTTTGGTGAGCTTATGGAATTGAGGAAATTCCTGTGTACAGCGTGTTTAGTGTACAGTTATTTACATGAATGTATGAGCTGGAGACATTGCCATATGAGTGGGTTGTCGACAAGTTTGCTATTGATATATTGGGGAGTTACAGTGACACCAGAATTTCATTGTACATATTGTGAGGTTTCTCATGTTTCATGCATCTGACTTTGTCTTGAGCTCTTTTAGCTTATGGAGATATTTTCCTTTCTGTCTCACTATTCTAGTGCAATGAGAAAAGGGTAAATGAGATAAGACTTGAGAAACTCCTGGTAAGAGGATAGCAGCTGGTGTATGTATCAGTTGGGTCCTTTATGAGGCAAGCTACATCAACATGTTTCTTCAGGATAGACCTCACTTATGCTGATTTTTTTTCCTTCTCAAACAACTTTACTGTAGATTAGCCAAATAAAGATTTTTACTTTCAGCTTTTAGGCGATTACAAAAGAAACCCTACAATCATGTTTCTAGAAGAGAGATTTTGCTTTTTATATTGTAGAGTGGTTCTATTCAGACAGCATTTGTTTTCCAAGTTTCTTGTCAGATCTATATTTTTTTTATGTGTCCAGAGCTGCACAAAACTAAGTTCCTCTTCCATCCAAAGGTTGTATTGGACTACGTAAAGGGACCCTTGGACTAAACCAGTACTGAACTTGCCCTCATCCATTATTACATCAAGGCGCTATTAGATGTGGGACTTGGGACCAACTGTGAATCAAGTTGGAATTTAGCTGGCAATTTTTGTCATTGTTTTCAAACCATGACGTAAACCAAGTTGTGCAATGACATAGAATTGATCGGTGGAACTTGAACACACACAAATCATTTCCAGTCGTGGTCCCTGTATGCTGTGGATTACTCAAAACACACCCATCTTCCATGCATGCAGATTGGTGGGGGTCTCAGATTTTAATTCTCTCTATTGTTCTCTTGCTAAGCTGAAGTCCAACTTCTTGAGGTTTAGTTTGGACGGAATTCCTTTTTCCAAATTCAAAGAGTATTGGGAGCTTTTGCCGACTAAAAAACTAATGTGGTAGACGCCATAGGGGAGAAAATTAAAGCTTCAACATCTCCAATCAGCATATTTTTACAGGATCTCATGCCATCCACCCATCCCTACTATAATCGTGGATGACATACTATTAAATTGATTAGAAAAATGGACCAAATTTGGGTAAATTTGGTATAGAACAATACTCCCAAGATAGTGACTTATTGTAGAAAAGGAATTTTTATGAAAAATATGTTTCCTTTTTTTGTCAAATATTGAGAGTTTTGATGATAATTTCCTTCTTTTAAAGTCAACATCTTGATGGGTTTTATTCTACAAAAGGGTGGATTAAAAAAAAGAATTCAAAATAGGGGGTTTCAAAAATATTTTT